ATCTATTTTCTTCATGCTTACTCCCACAGTATCATGCTTTCCTGTCAGGATATTATGCGCCAGTTTTCTCTTCTTCACCTTCTGTTCCTTCTGCTCTGGCACATTTTCTCCAGTTCAGACTCTTCTTCCGCTTTTCTCTATCCTGCCAGCTGAAAAGGAAGGGAAAGAGGCATTGATGGAGGCCATTTTCCAGCTAGTGGATTCTCAAACTTTAAGTGGATGAAGTACAGGGCACTAGCGGACACCAGGGAGGGAGGGGTTCCTGTCAAACGGTTCATTTCACTTCACACATCTACCTCAGGTCTCTAAATGAGGCGGCCACCTTTAGTCAGGGAAGAAGCCTCTTCCCCTGTCAGTGGAGGACACGGGGACCCTAACCTCCTGATTTAGAAACCTCAGTCAAGGGGTGTTCTCCTTTCTCATGAGCATTCAGAGTACAGCCATAAGAGTGTTGCCACCTTCACCTCAGTCCCCCCGGCCCCCCAATTCCCTTCTCCCTCCAAGTAAGATCTGTCCCACCTTGCATAGCAGTTTTGCGCTTGCACTTTTCCTTTCCTTTGTCTTTTCAGCCATCTTGCTTGCTTGGTCTCTTTCCAGGAAGCCCCAGCCGTATCCATGGTGCTTTAAGCTTAACAACAGCAGTTACCATTTTCAGCCCACTGCCAGTGCTATCTGCTGGACCTCTGCTCTACTGCATCTTGCCATACAGTGCACACTTAACTCTTCCCTATGCTTTTTCCAAGCCTTTTTTAGAGCAGAAAAATCACATCCAGACAAGAACATTAATTTTTGCTCCTTTCCTACTCATTATCTCTACTGCTTTTATTACCAAAACAGAAGTCCAACAACAGCCAGGAGAGTTTTGAGACTCTCACCTTTTAGACCTCTCCTGAAACCAAGATCTATAATTATCATATGGATTAGCCAGGAACTACCATGCTCAGTAAAGAACATTGCCTGTTTGGGACACGTTTCCAGGAAGGTATGTCCAGCCTCTGCTGCAGTGCTAAGTTTGGAAAACTAACAAAAGCAATCTCTAGCTAACTTATGCATCTTAGCCTAACCTGAAATTCTGGTGCAATCAAAAAAAACAAACACCAATCAGCAGCTCCGTCCCTGACCTTATGGAGTCACCTTGGCAACTTTGAAATCCTAACCTCAGCAGCAGATGACCATGTCATCTGTAACAAAAATAAAGACACTTGGAAAGGCCACCAGATGCCAAACTCAGCATAGAGCTTGCTAGCCGTCCCTGTTGGACACTCCATGTTCTTGTGCAAAGAGGAGACTGTTCTCACATTGGTTCCCTCAGGTTTCCTAGGCCTTTATGGACAAGTACATCTGTGCTGCTAAATGCTTTAGAGCCCATTCATCAATCCTTCTACATGGCTAACGCTACTGTCATTCAACAGCTTTCCCCCAGCTTGAGAAGACTAAGGACCACAGTGGGCTAGATTTTGCCCACACCAACATGAAGCACAGCGACTATTTATCCTCCCAGCACGTGCCATTCACAGGGCTATTGCCAAAGCTGTCCTGCTGCTATTTTACAAGCTAGTTACCACCAATGGAAGCTTTGGCCAATATCCTTTGAAGTCATACAAGCATTTCCGGCAAAGATCAGTTTGGGAAAGCAAGCTGTTAGGGTCAGTTTTCAAGTACAGATACATATGCTAGTATAGACAAAATTTGTAACAAAGGAGACAAATCGTTGCTTTTTCAACCAGAAAGAAACACCTTTTTTTTCTGTAACAGTAGCCAGGATGTCAGCAGGTGCTGGGTGGGAAGGTTCCTGTCAGCATTACCTGGGGCTAAAGACACAGGGTGGCATAAGTGTTTAAGTTAAATAGTTAAGAATATAAATAAAACCAGTATTTCAGACACATTGACACTCTAGCAAATAGTAGTCTACAGTCATAAGAGGAACGCTAGGACTAAAATATAGCTCACCTGTCTTTTCCCTATCCCCCCTTCAAAAGCAGCTTATAAAAGCTCCAGTCTCACCTAAGTTAATTCCCAGTTTTCATCTTTCCTAAGCATATACAGATCTTTTAGCATACCTGTAACAGTTTTTGTGTTTGCCACTTCTCTTCAACTGACAATTTCATGGTGTGTTTATTAATAAGCTACAGAGAACACATGCAACATTATCCATCCTTAAATACATTCTTTGTGTGGAACTGTATGGTCTTCCCCACCCTCATTCCTTTCCTGCTAGTGGATTCTGCACATGTGAAGTTTTGCTTGTTATTCTTCTCAGTGTTTTAGGGTGGTTTTCAAGTTACAGAAAAGTGTTTTGAAATTTGAATCAGGGGATATTGAAACCTCAATTTTAATCCTCTGAAGACATGTATTTTATGTTATACCACTTTCTCTCTCTAAAGGGCATAATTAGAGTGAGCTACAAAGTACTGTTGTACTTGAACCAAATCCCTGCCGTATTTAACTGCATACAAAGTCAAAGAACTCAAACAAAGCGGTATTCCCCCCCCCAGCACATAATGCACAAAGTGCCTAGGAAAAGTATAAGGAAGTGTATCATAGAGCATGCAGATTCCCCCAAAGGAGAATTAGACTTCCTATTTATCCTGCATTCGAAGGCAGAAACCGAGAAACTAGGTTTAGAAGGAACTGTCACCCAGTAATAGGTACTGCTTATTAAGCATGGAGCAATACCTTTTACATGAGACTGTATATTGTACATCCTGCTGGCACGCTAAAACTTTGCTACTATATTTGGTTAGGGAACAACTACAGCTTTCCTTGATGTTTAAAATTTGTTCAAGTGTACCATAATACACATTTATACATTTAAACAGAAATATTCTCTATTATATTACCTTTAGCCCAGTTAACTACTCAAGATACTAGCTCCTAAAAGAACTTCACAGTAACAACAAATTATTTCAGCTTCTTGGAACAATATACATACCGAAATACACACATTTCCCCATGCAGATATAAATATCTCTACATCCATATGAAATTTATTCTAAATTTAGACTGCTCATTGCACACCTTAGCAAAGCAGCAGCTGGCAACCCTTGAGAGTGTGGAAACGCTATTTTAAGAGTCTGTTGTGTTAATGTACTCGAGCTCCCACCTACGGTATGCTAAGAGACATTGTTCTAAATATACACTGATGCCAAATGCAGGTATTCAATAAAGATACAGAACACCATAACACTAAACCAAGGAGAAAAATGGTTACTTAACACGCACTTGTAAAATGTGTTACCTGTGTATGTTTCATCGCAGGAACACATACTCTAATCCAGATTCTTTGTAGTCATTTCTGCCTCCGAGTTCAGGGATACACTGGTGAGATTATGTTTTTTGGGTTCCTTCTTCAGCAGGTATTTTTCCCATAGTAGCTAGAAAAGATGGATAGTTATGGAATTCACATGCTTACCTTAAGATAAGCAACCATTTCTTATTTTGAATACTTGCTTACATATATAGACACCTTACTTTCATTACACATAGTAGCAATATATAGGACAAAGAGACAGGTGCTAGGAATCTACCTAAACAAGTCTCAGAAGGAATTCAGCTGGTGAATCTATTTAGGGAACTCACTCTGAACCACAGTTAGCTGCCCTCCATGTTTAATGGAGGAACATGTTTGAAGTTTCAGGTGCTGCTTGAAGCCAGCAAACCTGGTTCTTTCCATCAAGAGTAGATCTAAAATGGTTATTTCGTAATATAACCGAACAAATACAAGAACCCACTTAGAAATTACCTCCAGATTGATAAACATTAGGTTATTCAACCTCCTACCCAAATTATTGGCATGTTAGAGGTGGGGAAGCATCAGAAAAACATGCAATTTTATCTTTGCACCTTTGTGTTTTGCTGCTACTTTGTTGGAATACAGATATAAAAGATTATGTTGTCCTGTCTCAGTCTTTGGTTAAAAAAAAAAAATATCTACAGAGATCCTTATGGGCTTGCGTCCCTGCTCCCATAGCTGTCCTTAATAGAAAAAAAGAAATCCACATGTTAAAAACCACATATATACATATCTGGAAAAACCATTATTTCTGAAAAGGTAAGCCTATCAAGCCATCAACTGTTAACATTCCCAACAAAAACATACTCTGTATAATGAAAAACATCAACCAACCTTCAATTAAAGGGCCGAGTTCACGGTTCTCTTCAGACATCCAGGATGAAATCTATTATGTCTCTTACCAGCATTCAAAAACTTGTTAGAGAAGAAACTGCCTCAAAAATTTACACTGGAGTAATTTGATTGGAAAGGTTAGAGCTTATAACAATTCCTTTGGCAGGTATGCAAGTTACAAAGTGTCTTAGTTACCTGAACATGAAAGAATACGAGACCCATCACTACAGCCTAAACTTGAGTACTACTTCAAAACAAAGCAGTAAATAGAGAAAAGGTAGGGGGAAGAAGCTTTTAACAGAAACAGTAAAATTAAGTAGTGTTGGGTAACAAAAAAAAAAACCTTTTCAAAATTATTCTTCCTTTAGACTACAACTGCTTGCTTCTGTTTTATTGAAAAAAACACTTGGAACACTCACACTATATAAGAAACCCTGACAATTAAATACACAGAAGATCAAAGACAAATAACTGAAATATCTGCATTAAAACAACAAAATACTGACAAGTGCTCATAATTAGCATTTTGAATTCATTGCTCAAGTATACATCAAGCTTTGCTTAAAGGTGTGCTGCTACCAGCCTTGTTTATTTTCCTCCCCTTGAAGCTGTAAAATATACCAGCTCCAATACTGCATGGAAAGCCTTCCGCTAACACAAGATGTTCGACGTGCCTCAAACATGAATATCAAACAGGTTTCAGTACTTTAAGCCTTGATTTCCAAAAAAAAAAAACCCAAAACAAGCCACCCCATATGGTTATTGTGCCATTCCCGCCTCTGAGCACAGGTCAAGCAAAGGCTGCGGAGACAAGAAAAATTACGTATGCTGTTCCTTCAGGCATCACAGGGATTTTTTTTTTTTTATTGGTTTAGGAAGGAGAAGCACACCCAGTTCAGGAGATATTAGATAGCAGGGAAGTCAGGAGATAAATGCTTTGCTTTCAGAGATAAAAATTTAAATAAATATTTACATATAAACCAAAAGTCTACAGAAACTTGATTAAAAAATTCTGTTCCTTTCTGGGGTATCCTTTTAACAGAAAAGGGAGGAACTCCTTGTCTATGGTGAAGACTCACAGTCAGCATTGTTCTACCGCAGCATGAGCCACCAGTGTCTTTCAGTTCTTTGCACAGCTTTTGCAATGTTGCCACAGACTTCAGAGGATTGCAAGGACGAGTTTCACATACATCATTCTCCTGCAGGTAAAACTTCCTGCATGTAACTTCTCTCAGACTTTATTGTGAAGAGAAGCCATACTCGATTCAACAGCAGTCAGTCTTGTCTCCAGAGCCTTTAATACAGTGTCTGCCTGTAAAGTACACAGGGAAAGATACTTGGTTATAAACAGAACTTGGCAATGCAAAGAGCAAGTGTAGATGTCAGTAAGTACTCAAATTTGATCTTGCATCACCAATCCTATTTGATTCTATTCCTGCTCCTTTCATAGTTTGAAAGCTCACTCAACTCTAACATTAACTCTCCATACTCTCTCAAATCTGTAATTGTCTTCAACCTTGGTGTCGGATCCACACATTCAGCTTTTGCTAGACAACCATCAGCTGTCAGAGCCGACTTTGTTATACTATTTGCTCCCAACCGATTGCCACCTGCAATCAGAAGTTTTCCATAGAACAAAATGTCAATTTATTATGTAACATTTCAATACAAAGTTACAGCAAAAACATTAAGTCAGTTTACATGAAAGAGAAAAGACACAAGCAAAACAAAGTTAAGTGAAAATCTGGAGAAGTGAATCAGAACTAATTAGAAACAAAATTTCTAATTACTGACAGACATAGATAGGAATCTAAAGCTGTGCTTGGTAAACAGAAAATGCTAATTACCATTAAAATGGAAGGAAAAGTTACTGAAAATCTTGCATAACACAAGATATTAATAGCATAAAGTATTACAGCATATGTTAAAACCCACAGAATTGATCTGGAGGAAATAAGGATATTAAGATTTCATAGAGGTGATTTAAACAGAGAATGATACAAGGTTAATCTTACCCTTTGTAGCACCTCTTCCAAGACAGCTCGATTTTCAAGAGTTAAAGGTTCCTCATCAGTAAGAGCTTGCTTTTCTGAGGAACCTAGAATGTAACTGATACACTACAGTTTAGATTGTGCAATTTGCACTCTGAAGGCAAAAAAACAGATGTAGGACTCATCTATTGTTCTTAATGATTATGAGATTATTATTAATACACTAGCAAAGTGGAAGCATGATTCCAGCAACAACAAAAAAAAAATCTATATTTAGTAATCTTGTAAACAAACTGTATGGTGGAATGAAAAGAGTTTTAAGCGCAGAACTACCAAGACACCACCGCTTTACAAAAGTTAGAACTCCAAGAGACAGTCAGGAATTCTGGTGCCACAGGATATGGTGAAAAATTATGCAGACATTGAGAACAGTGTAGCACTAGCTGGGAGAACCGGCCATCACCATTACTGTGCAAGAAAGTGCCATTTTGTCACCATGTTAGTGTTTCAGAGAATTTTACTGCCATGGAAAAAGCAAAGTATCATAGCTGTGGAAAGAGAAAAAAACCACTGTCCAGAGTAGGAAGGTGAACATCCACATAGATACAGCAAAATAAACTGGAACTTAACAAAAAGCAGAAACATTAAAACTAGCCCAGACAGAAATAAAGGTAACCTATCACTGTTTACTAGAGCAACGCTTGGATAAAAGCACTCTGGTGTGGAAATGTAGTTTGGGATATAGTTATTGAAGAATATTTTAAGACCACTTTTAAGTGCTATAAACCAATTAAAACCAATACAATAGCACACCTTCATTTTCCAGACAGTTTTTGACTGTAAGACAGTTAAGTGAGACCCTCAAGCACATATTCAGTTTTAAGATTTGCTTTTGCCTGCTTTAGCAAGGAAAAAGCAGACTTGACCAGTACAGGTCAGACCTCACCCTAAGTTCTACTTAAGCCCCTATCTGCATGTTCTCTGCTGATATCTACCTCCGATAGCTTACAGCCAGGCCTATTTGGTGCTACCTATGACTGCAGGCTCATTTTATGTCATCTAAAGCAGAGCACATATGTAGTCTCTTCTGATCAAATGAGAAGGAACCCTCCTGTGTTGTATACCTAGTGTTATTTTCCTGGGTGGTATGCAATTTCTTATACAGAAGGCGGCCCTGGTATTTTCTTTTTTCTAGGATTTGTCTAACGTTACAGAGATGTTTCTCACACTTCAACACTATGATGCTAACAGCAGTAATACAGAAAACCACTCTGGAACAAAGCGGCAGAAACAGCTACCTCTGGACATGCCACAAATATTAACGGGAGCATCCCTTAGTAGGATGCCTGGTGGGTGAAGCTTAGCTGGCAGGCTTACCAACAAAAATTCTGCCTTTACCTTTCAATTGAGTCAACATTGAAACAGAACAAATCCCTCTTGTAGTCGAGATGCTTTGGGGTGCATCTATAGATATTGCCAAGTGTCATTGAGCAGCCAGAGCAGAATAATGTTTCAATCATGCTGCAAGTAAAATATGTAACGTTTATTCAGGAGAAAAGAAATGGAAACACCTCTCCCCATCCCTATTCTAAAAAAAAAAAAAAAAAAAAGCTAGCCATCCATTATGATTTTTTTAGGGCATTCACTCCTGCTTTACATAGTGCAATTACGAGCACTCATCTTTCAGCCTGCGTTCCCGGCGGCCGGCTGACCTCCGCAAGGCTAATACATAAGCATTCTGTACAGTCCGCCCGAAAGAAGCGTTCCAGGCCCAAGCTCCCCGGCCCTGCCCGGGGGAACACAGGCACTCCCGCCCGCCGGCAGCACCTGGCGGGCCGTTTATCAGGCTTTTCCCCAGCGCCTTCCCCGGGGCCTCTCGGCTCCCTCAGGAGAGGGAGGGAAGGGCCCAGGTGGGGATCCCCCCCGCTCCCGGGGCAGCGGCGGGGCTCGGGGGCCGGGCCTCACCATCCGCACTCGCCGGGCC